GTATCCCTATTCCACAATCTTTCTTACCTGGTCATCTTCCAGATGTTGGTTTCAGAATCAAGCAACACCTAGAGTGTGTGTTCAATTGTCATGTTAATTACCCCTTAAGACTCAAAAACTTTCTAATGGATTAATTTATAAATGAATATTGTAAGAAGCAATATACTCTTACCTTAAGACTGTGTTGGTGCCGGTCTCCAGCGGGCCCGTTGTTAACCACCGTATTGGACTTAGTGGGAAGATTAACATGTCTCAGGAGTTGATAGCTGCTTCTCGTCTGTAAAAATTATTCACATTAGTTATGTAATTTGTAATTCAGTTATTAACAATGCAGCTAAGGTCACTAGTTCTTGTGGTTTTAAAAGAAATCCTAATCCAATAACTATTTTATATAACATTTCATCAAACCTATAAGAGAAAATGTTAGTCTGAGGCATTGGGGCTAGCCATAACTAAATTTGTAGGGAAAAGGGCTTGGGGGTAGGGGTACAGAAATAGGCTGGTCAGGATAGGCCTAAATTAAGTGATTTACCAACAAAAAAATTATTCACACCATCCTATTCATTCGCTAATATTTTGTTATATAAAAGGGAAGAGGCAAAGTGGGTGGGGGGGGAGGGTAAAAATGGATTAAGGGAAATAGGGAGGACGGGTGTTGGAGAGGAAAGGTAGATAGGTAGGGGAGGGGGAAAGACGAAGGAAGGGCGCCCGGGAACCGCCGGGTACCCGCTACCTAGTAGGTTTTATATATTAATACAATATATAATCACTATACTGACCAATTTGGTCATTAATTACTTTCCTCTAATTATTTTTAGTACTAAACTGTTGTTTAGACTGTTACCCACCTCTTCAATCACTATATTATTTATATATTATTTAGGTATATCTCCTGGGACCCCAAATTATTACTAAACTACAAATGATTACATTCGTGAAGTTATTCAAAGTCAAATACCTTAGTCTTGGTGGCGAGGTGGAGGCAGTCAGCGCTCGTTAAGACGTTGTCATATAATCTGTAACTCTAACAGTATAGTACAAATGTTCAGGCCTGCACTATGTCAACATTTACCTGCATATGTAATTTATATGTAAGGATAGCGACTAATAGTTTGACGTTAGAGTAAATTTCTTTCAACAGCCAAGCTGCTTTGCCACAGCGATGTTCACAGACTTAAATTTATTATAACTTTCTTTTCATTCTGATTGTCCTTTCAGATAGGCTAACTTGCTGATGTTGGTTTCAGAATCAACCAACACGTTGAATGTGTGTTAAATTGTCATGTTAATTACCCCTTTAATTAGTTACAATTAAGAATCCAAAACTTTCTAATGGATTAATTTATATATTAATATTGTAAGAAGCAATATACTCTTACCTTAAGACTGTGCTGGTGCCGGTCTCCAGCGGGCCCGTTGTTAACCACCGTATCGGACTTAGTGGGAAGATTAACATGTCTCAGGAGTTGATAGCTGCTTCTCGTCTGTAAAAATTATTCACATTAGTTATGTAATTTGTAATTCAGTTAATAATGCAGCTACGGTCACTAGTTCTTGTGGTTTTAAAAGAAATCCTAATGCTATAATTATTTATGTAACATTTCATCAAACCTATAAGAGAAAATGTTAGTGTTTGAGGCATTGGGGCTAGCCATAACTAAATTTGTAGGGAAAAAGGCTAGGGCGTATGGGTACAGAAATTGGCTGGTCAGGATAGGCTTAAATTAAGTGATTTACCAAAAAAAAATTATTCACACCATCCTATTCATTCGCTAATATTTTGTTATATAAAAGGGAAGAGGCAAAGTGGGTGGGGAGGGTAAAAATGGATTAAGGGAAATAGGGAGGACGAGTGTTGGAGAGGAAAGGTAGATAGGTAGGGGAGGGGGGAAGACGAAGGCAGGGCGCCCGGGAACCGCCGGATACCCGCTCCCTAGTAGGTTTTATATATAAATACAATATATAATCACTATACTGACCAATTTGGTCATTAATTACTTTCCTCTAATTATTTTTAGTACTAAACTGTTGTTTAGACTGTTACCCACCTCTTCAATCACTATATTATTTATATATTATTTAGGTATATCTCCTGGGACCCGAAATTATTACTAAACTACAAATCTTATATTCGTGAAGTTATTCAAAGTCAAATACCTTAGTCTTGGTGGCTAGGTGGAGGCAGTCAGCGCTCGATAAGAAGTTGTCATATAATCTGTAACTCAACAGTTGGCATAGTGTTCAGGCCAGCACTATGCCAACATTTACCTGCATATGTAATTTACATGTAAGGATAGCGACTAATAGTTTGACGTTAGACTAAATTTCTTTCAACAGCCAAACTGCTTTGCCACAACTATGTTCACAGACTTAAATTCATTACAACTTTCTTTTCATTCTGATTGTCCTTTCAGATAGGCTAACTTGGTCATCTTGCTGATGTTGGTTTCAGAATCAACCAACACCTTGAATGTGTGTTAAATTGTCATGTTAATTACCCCTTTAATTAGTTATAATTAAGAATCCAAAACTTTTTAATGTATTGATTTATAAAGGAATATTTTAAGAAGCAATATACTTTAACCTTAAGGCTGTATTGGTGTCAGTCTCCAGCGGGCCCGTTGTTAACCACCGTATTGGACTTAGTGGGAAGATTAACATGTCTCAGGAGTTGATAGCTGCTTCTCGTCTGTAAAAATTATTCGCATTAGTTATCTAATTTGTAATTCAGTTATTAACAATGCAGCTAAGGTCACTAGTTCTTGTGGTTTTAAGAGAAATCCTAATCTTCTAATAACTATTTTATATACCATTTCATCAAACCTATAAGAGAAAATGTTAGTCTGAGGCCTTTGTAGGGAAAAAGGCTTGGGGGTATGATACGGAAATAGGCTGGTCAGGATAGGCCTAAATTAAATGATTTACCCAAAAAAATTATTCACACCATCCTATTCGTTCGCTAATATTTTGTTATATAAAAGGGAAGAGGCAAAGTGGGGGGGGGGGAGGGTAAAAATGGATAAAGGGAAATAGGGAGGACGGGTGTTGGTGGGAGGAATAGGGAGGTCAGGTGTTGGAGGGGGAAGGTAGATAGGTAAGGGGGGAAGACGAATTAAGGGCGCCCGGGAACCACCGGGTACCCGCTCCCTAGTAGGTTTTATATATTAATACAATATATAATCACTATACTGATTTGGTCATTAATTACTTCCCCTAATTATTTTTAGTACTAAACCTTTGTTTAGACTTTTAACCACCTTTTCAATCACTATCTTACTTATATATTATTTAAGTATATCTCCTGGGACCCGAAATTATTACTAAACTACAAATCTTATATTCGTGAAGTTATTCAAAGTCAAATACCTTAGTCTTGGTGGCGAGGTGGAGGCAGTCAGCGCTCGATAAGACGTTGTCATATAATCTGTAACTCAACAGTATAGTACAAATGTTCAGGCCTGCACTATGTCAACATTTACCTGCATATGTAATTTATATGTAAGGATAGCGACTAATAGTTTGACGTTAGAGTAAATTTCTTTCAACAGCCAAGCTGCTTTGCCACAGCGATGTTCACAGACTTAAATTCATTATAACTTTCTTTTCATTCTGATTGTCCTTTCAGATAGGCTAACTTGGTCATCTTGCTGATGTTGGTTTCAGAATCAACCAACACGTTGAATGTGTGTTAAATTGTCATGTTAATTACCCCTTTAATTAGTTACAATTAAGAATCCAAAACTTTGTAATGGATTAATTTATAAATTAATATTGTAAGAAGCAATATACTCTTACCTTAAGACTGTGTTGGTGCCGGTCTCCAGCGGGCCCGTTGTTAACCACCGTATCGGACTTAGTGGGAAGATTAACATGTCTCAGGAGTTGATAGCTGCTTCTCGTCTGTAAAAATTATTCACATTAGTTATGTAATTTGTAATTCAGTTAATAATGCAGCTACGGTCACTAGTTCTTGTGGTTTTAAAAGAAATCCTAATGCTATAATTATTTATGTAACATTTCATCAAACCTATAAGAGAAAATGTTAGTGTTTGAGGCATTGGGGCTAGCCATAACTAAATTTGTAGGGAAAAAGGCTAGGGCGTATGGGTACAGAAATTGGCTGGTCAGGATAGGCTTAAATTAAGTGATTTACCAAAAAAAAATTATTCACACCATCCTATTCATTCGCTAATATTTTGTTATATAAAAGGGAAGAGGCAAAGTGGGTGGGGAGGGTAAAAATGGATTAAGGGAAATAGGGAGGACGAGTGTTGGAGAGGAAAGGTAGATAGGTAGGGGAGGGGGAAAGACGAAGGCAGGGCGCCCGGGAACCGCCGGGTACCCGCTACCTAGTAGGTTTTATATATAAATACAATATATAATCACTATACTGACCAATTTGGTCATTAATTACTTTCCTCTAATTATTTTTAGTACTAAACTGTTGTTTAGACTGTTACCCACCTCTTCAATCACTATATTATTTATATATTATTTAGGTATATCTCCTGGGACCCGAAATTATTACTAAACTACAAATCTTATATTCGTGAAGTTATTCAAAGTCAAATACCTTAGTCTTGGTGGCGAGGTGGAGGCAGTCAGCGCTCGATAAGAAGTTGTCATATAATCTGTAACTCAACAGTTGGCATAGTGTTCAGGCCTGCACTATGCCAACATTTACCTGCATATGTAATTTACATGTAAGGATAGCGACTAATAGTTTGACGTTAGACTAAATTTCTTTCAACAGCCAAACTGCTTTGCCACAACTATGTTCACAGACTTAAATTCATTACAACTTTCTTTTCATTCTGATTGTCCTTTCAGATAGGCTAACTTGGTCATCTTGCTGATGTTGGTTTCAGAATCAACCAACACCTTGAATGTGTGTTAAATTGTCATGTTAATTACCCCTGTAATTAGTTACAATTAAGACTCCAAAACTTTTTAATGTATTGATTTATAAAGGAATATTTTAAGAAGCAATATACTTTAACCTTAAGGCTGTATTGGTGTCAGTCTCCAGCGGGCCCGTTGTTAACCACCGTATTGGACTTAGTGGGAAGATTAACATGTCTCAGGAGTTGATAGCTGCTTCTCGTCTGTAAAAATTATTCGCATTAGTTATCTAATTTGTAATTCAGTTATTAACAATGCAGCTACGGTCACTAGTTCTTGTGGTTTTAAGAGAAATCCTAATCTTCTAATAACTATTTTATATACCATTTCATCAAACCTATAAGAGAAAATGTTAGTCTGAGGCCTTTGTAGGGAAAAAGGCTTGGGGGTATGATACGGAAATAGGCTGGTCAGGATAGGCCTAAATTAAATGATTTACCAAAAAAAATTATTCACACCATCCTATTCGTTCGCTAATATTTTGTTATATAAAAGGGAAGAGGCAAAGTGGGGGGGGAGGGTAAAAATGGATAAAGGGAAATAGGGAGGACGGGTGTTGGAGGGAGGAATAGGGAGGTCAGGTGTTGGAGGGGGAAGGTAGATAGGTAAGGGGGGAAGACGAATTAAGGGCGCCCGGGAACCGCCGGGTACCCGCTCCCTAGTAGGTCTTATATATTAATACAATATATAATCACTATACTGATTTGGTCATTAATTACTTCCCCTAATTATTTTTAGTACTAAACCGTTATTTAGACTTTTAACCACCTTTTCAATCACTATCTTACTTATATATTATTTAAGTATATCTCCTGGGACCCCGAATTATTACTAAACTACAAATCTTATATTCGTGAAGTTATTCAAAGTCAAATACCTTAGTCTTGGTGGCGAGGTGGAGGCAGTCAGCGCTCGTTAAGACGTTGTCATATAATCTGTAACTCAACAGTATAGTACAAATGTTCAGGCCTGCACTATGTCAACATTTACCTGCATATGTAATTTATATGTAAGGATAGCGACTAATAGTTTGACGTTAGAGTAAATTTCTTTCAACAGCCAAACTGCTTTGCCACAACTATGTTCACAGACTTAAATTTATTATAACTTTCTTTTCATTCTGATTGTCCTTTCAGATAGGCTAACTTGCTGATGTTGGTTTCAGAATCAACCAACACGTTGAATGTGTGTTAAATTGTCATGTTAATTACCCCTTTAATTAGTTACAATTAAGAATCCAAAACTTTCTAATGGATTAATATATAAATTAATATTGTAAGAAGCAATATACTCTTACCTTAAGACTGTGTTGGTGCCGGTCTCCAGCGGGCCCGTTGTTAACCACCGTATCGGACTTAGTGGGAAGATTAACATGTCTCAGGAGTTGATAGCTGCTTCTCGTCTGTAAAAATTATTCACATTAGTTATGTAATTTGTAATTCAGTTAATAATGCAGCTACGGTCACTAGTTCTTGTGGTTTTAAAAGAAATCCTAATGCTATAATTATTTATGTAACATTTCATCAAACCTATAAGAGAAAATGTTAGTGTTTGAGGCATTGGGGCTAGCCATAACTAAATTTGTAGGGAAAAAGGCTAGGGCGTATGGGTACAGAAATTGGCTGGTCAGGATAGGCTTAAATTAAGTGATTTACCAAAAAAAAATTATTCACACCATCCTATTCGTTCGCTAATATTTTGTTATATAAAAGGGAAGAGGCAAAGTGGGTGGGGGGGGGGAGGGTAAAAATGGATAAAGGGAAATAGGGAGGACGGGTGTTGGAGGGAGGAATAGGGAGGTCAGGTGTTGGAGGGGGAAGGTAGATAGGTAAGGGGGGAAGACGAATTAAGGGCGCCCGGGAACCGCCGGGTACCCGCTCCCTAGTAGGTTTTATATATTAATACAATATATAATCACTATACTGATTTGGTCATTAATTACTTCCCTTAATTATTTTTAGTACTAAACCGTTATTTAGACTTTTAACCACCTTTTCAATCACTATCTTACTTATATATTATTTAAGTATATCTCCTGGGACCCGAAATTATTACTAAACTACAAATCTTATATTCGTGAAGTTATTCAAAGTCAAATACCTTAGTCTTGGTGGCGAGGTGGAGGCAGTCAGCGCTCGATAAGACGTGGTCATATAATCTGTAACTCAACAGTATAGTACAAATGTTCAGGCCTACACTATGCCAACATTTACCTGCATATGTAATTTACATGTAAGGATAGCGACTAACAATTTGACGTTAGAGTAAATTTCTTTCAACAGCCAAACTGCTTTGCCACAACTATGTTCACAGACTTAAATTCATTATAACTTTCTTTTCATTCTGATTGTCCTTTCAGATTGTCTAACGTGGTCATCTTGCTGATGTTGATTTCAGAATCAACCAACACATTGAATGTGTTAAATTTTCATGTTAATTACCCCTTTAATTAGTTATAATTAAGACTCCAAAACTTTGTAATGGATTAATTTATAAGGAATATTGTAAGAAGCAATATACTCTTACCTTAAGACTGTGTTGGTGCCAGTCTCCAGCGGGCCCGTTGTTAACCACCGTATCGGACTTAGTGGGAAGATTAACATGTCTCAGGAGTTGATAGCTGCTTCTCGTCTGTAAAAATTATTCACATTAGTTATGTAATTTGTAACTCAGTTAACACTGCAGCTACGGTCACTAGTTCTTGTGGTTTTAAGGGAAATCCTAATCCAATAATAACTGATATAACATTTCATCAATACCAATAAGATAAAATGTCAGTTTTTTGAGGCCTTGGGAATAGCCATAACCAAATTTGTGGGGAAGAAGCTTGGGGTATGGTACGGAAATAGGCTGGTCGGGATAGGCCTAAGTTAGGTGATTTACCAAAAAAAAATTATTCACACCACCATCCTATTTGCTCGCTAATATTTTATTTTATAAAAGGGGAGAGGCAAAGTGGGTGGGGGGGGGGGGGTGATGTTGGGTAAGGGGCTAGAGGGGGGAGTAGGGATGTCAGGTGTAGGAGGGGGGGGGAGTAGGGATGTCAGGTGTTGGAGGGGGGGAGTTGGGAGGACGAGTGGTGGGGGTAATGACGAGAGAAGGGGGGGGGGTCCTCACGGGCTCCCCATAGCCTGTGCTACATGGACACATCGTTCTGAGTAGCTAAATCTAAAGCAACAGAGGGAAGGGCGCCCGGAAACCGCCGGGTTCCCGCTCCCTAGGTTTAATATATTAATACAATATATAATCACTATACTGACCAATTTGGTCATTAATTACTTTCCCTAATTACTTTTAGTAGTACTAAACCGTTGTTTTAAACTTTTAAACACTTCTTCAAATCACTTATTTTTTTATAATATTTAAGTATATTATTAGTATTAAGTATATTAATAAGTATTAAGTATATTTAAGTATATCTCCTGGGACCCCGAATTATTACTAAACTACAAATCTTATATTGGTGATGTTATTCAAAGCCTGATACCTTAAGTCTTGGTGGCGAGGTGGAGGCAGTCAGCGCTCGTTAAGACGTTGTTATATAATCTCTAACTCAACACTACAGTCCAAATGTTCAGGCCTGCACTATACGAGCATTTACCTGCATATGTAATTTATATGGAAGGATAGCGACTAATAGTTCGGCGTAAGAGTAAATTTCTTTCAACAGCCAAACTGCTTTGCCACAACTATGTTCACTAAGACTAATTCATAACGAATTTTTTCTTTTCATTCCGATTGTCCTTTCAGATAGGCTAACGTGGTCATGAGACGACTCAAATAGAAAACGAAACAGAACGTCACTTTTGTGAGCCGATTTAATTTCAAATTACGTCCAAATTTAGCCATGGCGCCGCGTATACCAGCCAAAAGTGCCGTTATTTTTAAGAGGACGGGTTGAACACACAGCAATCACACATACACCAAAGGCGGAGGAACTCACGGTACACCTCTTCCCTCACTAATTTGACAATATCCCTGTGATATTGCTCAATATGTGCTCAACTCCGTAAACGTCATCTACCGGGCCACGGAGTATGCCACACATGACAAGCTCAACCACAGGATAACCAACACGGCCTGTAAACTCCAGGCCCACGGAATTCACTCTCACAACAGGGGTAGAAGGGCCTCCCATCGCAAGGTGCGACGTTGACACCAGTCCAGCAGCAACTGTAGGGAAGGTGGAGACGCCCACACCCCCAAACCCCCCAGCCGCTCGGCCAACAACCACCAACTACCGGAGGGCTCAGGCACCTGGTTGATGGGGTTCTGGGAGTTGTTCTACTCCCCAAGCCCGACCCGAGGCCAGGCTCGACTTGTGAGGAACGCATAGGTAACACTTCATTATACCCCACCGCAGCTAGGGCGCAACTCCTTACCACTTTAATTAGTTATCTTGAGGTTATCTTGAGATGATTTCGGGTTTTTTTAGTGTCCCAGCGGCCCGGTCCTCGACCAGGCCTCCACCCCCAGGAAGCAGCCCGTGACAGCTCGCTAACACCCAGGTACCTATTTTACTGCTAGGTAACAGGGGCATAGGGTGAAAGAAACTCTGCCCATTGTTTCTTGCCGGCGCCCGGGATCGAACCCGAGACCACAGGATCACAAGTCCAGTGTGCTGTCCGCTCGGCCGACCGGCTCCCAGTTATTATAATTAAGACCGGTTATACTTAAGACTCCAAAACTTTTTAATGGATTAATTTATAAATGAATATTGTAAGAAGCAATATACTCTTACTTTAAGACTGTGTTGGTGCCAGTCTCCAGCGGGCCCGTTGTTAACCACCGTATCGGACTTAGTGGGAAGATTAACATGTCTCAGGAGTTGATAGCTGCTTCTCGTCTGTAAAAATTATTCGCATTAGTTATGTAATTTGTAATTAACAATGCAGCTACGGTCACTAGTTCTTGTGGTTTTAAGAGAAATCCTAATCCTATAATTATTTTATATACCATTTCATCAAACCTAAAAGAGAAAATGTTAGGCGTCCTGTTTGAGGCCTCGGGGATAGCCTAACCAAATTTTTCGGGAAAAAGGCTTGGGGGTATGGTACGGAAATAGGCTGGTTGGGATAGGCCTAAGGTAAGCGATTTACAGAAAACAAAAACAATTATTCACACCATCCTATTCGCTCGCTAATATTTTATTTAATAAAAAGGGAGAGGCAAAGTGGGTGGGGGGAGCAGGCAGAGAAGAGGAGGGAGTGGGGAGAGGCAGGAGGAGGGGGAAGGGTGGGGAGAGGCTGGGGGGGGGGGAAGAAGGGGGGAGTACTGGGGAGGGAAGAGTGGGGGAGAGGCAGGGAGGGTACCCGGCGGTGCCCGGGGGCCCTTCCCTCGTCTTCCCCGCTTATCTACCTCCTGCCCCCCCCCCCTCCAACAAACCGACATTCTGACTCTTCCCTCCAACCCCTTACCCCCGTATATATTATGTATATAATATAAACATAATATATATATTATGTATATATTATAATACAATTTTTTTTTTTTTATCTTTATTTAAAAAAATACAATATAAGTTACATATACATAAATGTTACAAGGCAATTATACATTACAATTCTTAGTGAACAAGTGTTTCAGTAGTACAGAACAACATTTTTTAGAAAACCCCTATAAACGAGTTACAAAAATTGAAGAATAAACTTACATTAAAATACAGGGGAAAATATTACATTTATATATATTTTATATAAGCCTCAGTAAACCAATTTTCTATATCATCAGCGAGCATGAGCCTTAAACCCCAAATGTTATACCTGATCCTGCCTCGCAAGAACTTCAATATTTTGTCTACTGAGTAACCTTCCTGCCTGCCTATCCACACACAAAAAATGTAATCAGAAAGTAACATAATTATTGTATTCCTAATTTTCTTGCATTTTATGTCAATATGAAACATTAAAAACCTCATTAACTCCACTCTAATACTTGGTCCACATAAATCTTTAAGAGTGTCTCTAATCCAGTTTACAAGAACAACTTTCTGCTTACAGAAATAAAATATATGCATATTATTCTCAATTTCAGTACATTGGTCACACCTATTGTCGTCTTTAATGCCCAACATCAACAACCTATCATTAGTAGGAAGGGTCTCATGAATATAGCGATACAATAGCTCACGTTGTTTTGGGGCAATAAATTTAACATGAAGGTTTGCCCATATTACTTGCCAGCTAAAGAGTGGATATGCCTCCTCTACTCTAGGAACTACATTTGGTAGTATAACATCATACACTTGTTTACTGTTCATCATTAAAAAACCTTCAATATTACAAATCCGCCTGAGAACATCAATTGCACATGAATAAAAGTGCGGTGAAATAAAGGCAAGGTCAGTATACTCTGGCATACGTATCAAATAGCTAACACGTAATTTACAATAGTAATGTCCTAGTGCATTTACACTATCCCTCTGCATTATCTCCTTTCTAAAAGTAACACATAAGATTGCCAATGACTTATGGTACACATTCAGTATTCCTATTCCACCGTTTTTCTTACCTTTACATAGGGTAGTTCGTTTAATTGGCTGGTATCTACCATACCATACATATCTAAAAATAGTTTTGTCAATCTCTATAGCACTTTTCTTGTCTATGGGAAAGCTGTGAGACAAATACCACACTTTAGACAAAATTTTGCAATTGATTATTACAGCCTTCTGAAACAGGGTCAATTTCCTATTTGACAACATATTCGTTGCAACTATTATATTCCCACATAGTACTTGCCAATTCGTAACCAATGTTGTTTCATATGTTTTACACCAGCAAATCCCAAGAGCTTTAATAGACTCCACAACCTTGAACCATGAACCTGTCCAGTTAACCTTATTACACCAACTGCCAAGACCCATCATACACGTTTTGTTCTTGTTAATAACAGCACCTGTCGCTCGTTCAAAGTTGTCTAACTCATTCTGAACATTCACCACCGAGTCTTCTGTCGACACAAAAATAGTTGTATCGTCTGCATAACCAACAACAGGAAGTGTCATTGCATTAGGAAGACGAGGTGGAACAATAAAGTCATTGCTTTTTATTGCCAAGTACAGTGGCTCTTGAAATATAACATACAAAATCATTGAAAGGGGACATCCCTGACGTACAGATCGTTCAACTGAAAAAGGTTTACTTAAGACTCCATTGATACAGACGCTGCTCCGACACTCTTTATAAAGCATACGGATCCAATCAATAAATTCTCGTGCCACTCCTACCCTATCCAATATTGCTAATACAAACTGAACATCAACACGGTCAAAGGCTTTCGACCAGTCGAGGTTTATCATGGAGGAAGGAACATTATTCTCAGACACATAATACACAACATCCCTAATTACATTATTACAATTGATTATAGATCTTCCAGGCACACCACAAAACTGTTCCTTTGATATAAGTTTATCCATTGCAATCCTAAGTCTATTTGCCAACAGTTTCGATATTATTTTATAATCCTGGTTTAGTAGGGAAAGTGGCCTCCAGTTCGTTAGAATATGCAAATCACCCGTTTTAGGTATCATCTTAATAATCCCATGAGATTGTGACATGCTAAGCTTCCTATGCTGTATGCTATACTGCACCACTTGTACAAAGTCTTTACCAATGACATCCCATAGATAGAAATAAAATTCCGCCGGGAACCCATCACAGCCAGGTGATTTACCCTTCTTTAAACTCTTGACAACACTCCACACTTCCTGCTTATCTACATCTGCCAATAATGACGTGTTGTCATCCTGGGTTAAAACCCGTGTACATTTTCCAAGGAAATACTCCTGCATACCTTGGTCCACGTTCACTTTTTTGTACAATTTCTCTAATTCACCCCGAACATAATATACAATCCCATCCGTATTTGTCATATCCGTCCCATCACCTGCTTTAATACTAGTTACAAGTGCTGTACCCTTGTTATTCTTGACTTTACTTAACAAATAAGGAGAGAGTTTTTCACCATACATCCTATCATTAATCTGGAGGCGAACATTGACTCCTTCAGATATTTCATCCCTCAATTTGTTAATTCTGTCTTTTAAAATGGTAATTTCCTCATACTTGTCTAGTCCCATATTGACCTTTACATAAAGTTGTTTTAGTCTTTGTTGGAATAAGTTTAACAGACCATATTTTTCAGCAGCCTTTCGTTTGGATACTTTCACGAAGAAACTTTTGCATGCAACTTTACACATGTCCCACCACTCCAATAGACATCTGAACTTACGTTTTTGCCCAACCAGATGTTCCCACAATACTTGAAAATTATCAATTACATCTCTACTCTGCAACAGACTGCAATTGAGCTTCCATGACCCTGTCCCCACTTTAACCTGATCGTCAATAACAAGCTTCACCACAACCATACAGTGATCTGAAAAGCTGACCGGAACAGTACTGCAAGAACTAATTTTATCATGGAACGAGTGCATATATAACCTGTCAAGCCTAGAACCATAATTCTGGCGAACATATGTGTATTCATATACACCTCCGTTAATGCTATTTGCATCCTTTAGACCAATACATTTCAAAAGTGTAATTAAAGCAGGAGATACACATGCGTTCGACTGAATGCTACAATCTCTCATAGAAGTGACACAATTAAAGTCGCCACCAAAAATAACGTTACGCGTATCATTTCTGAAAAAATATAATAACTCGTTAGAGAACAAGTCCTCCCTCTCTTTCTTCCTGCGGGTGCCAGAGGGAGCATACACATTAAGTACAGGAATTATTGTGTCAAAAAAGGAAATCCTAGCATATAAAACATTACCATTATCATCCATTTCAGTATTAAGAACCTTGATGTGGGCTCGCTTAGCAATCAATATCATCGTACCACCTTTCAACAAGGTCGTTGGATTTATCAATATTTCAAAGAAATCAAGCAGCACATCAAGTTTCTTAACATCTTGAACATTGTGTTCTTGCACTAAAAGTACATCCAAATTATGATATTTAAACAATGATAACAGCTGCAACTGTTTATTTCTACAATTGAGCCCATTAATGTTCAAAGTAGCACAATTAAAATTAATTGGCTTCACGAATGGAATTTGAAGAGAAACCAAAATTACCCTTTATCCGTCATTATCTCACTTGACACTATCTTAGTGTCATCTTTCCCTTTTCGAAGTTTAAGTTTAATATTTGCACTCGCGTCTCGATTCTGTTCATGTTCCACAAGATCCCACCATGTCTTATCACTGTTCTCTCTACCATGATCCTCACTCACCTGTTGTACTGTGCCCTCGCTACGTTTCGGTGACTCTTCGTGGCCTTGGTCACGGTGAACTTCAACGGCAACAACCTGCTCAATTTTTTCAGAGACTTTTAATTTAGCGGCATAGTCCTTCATACGTTCCAGATCAATACTCCGAGTAAATTTTTTCCGTTTCTTCCCGTGACTGGTTACAGAACCAGCCTTCACACCCTTAGCCTTCACACCCCCAGCCCTCACACTACCCCTACCCTTTCTATCATACCTTACTGAAGAGGGTGGAGTTGCTCTCTGCACAGACATTTCTACATCACTATCCACCATTGTGTCAGCCTCTACATCCAGTTGACAACCAATTACTTGTTCCATCGTCACCTCACCAAGGTCAGCACCACCGCCAGCCTCGCAGCTCTTCGCAGCGTCAGCACCTATGTTATGGGCGTCCACATGTATAGTGTCCAGACTTACCTCACCCTCACCAGGGCTACCAACAGCCGGTAAAGCGTCCTGAGCAGTGTCACCTGCACCCTCCTTGTCTGCATTACCTTCATCGTCCTGATCTAAGTTACCTTCACCGGCCTCATTCGCACTGGGAGTCACTTCCACAGATGTTTCAC